ACACACAATGAGTTCTCAAGCTATATGCTAACAAATATTACAACTTAAGATTAGATAATAGTTCGTCGATATACAAAAGCACATCAAGGCTATCCCAAGAGTCTGTCAGGTACCTCATCAACTTCGCCAGCACCTAATTAGCATCTAGTCATACTATACATATTGATTCCAAAAGGGTGCAGCAAAAACAAGACCCCATCAGCCATAATCAAAAGATCATGTAGCTACAATCATCCATAATCAGGGACCACCAAGATCACCACCAGATAAATGGTTGAACACCCAACGCTCAAGGTATTCTTGACCCATATTGATAAGGAAGCTGCGATGAACTTGAAATTCTGGCTTGCAAAGGTGCATTCCTACTGCAAGCCTATCATCTGGTGCTAATGCGATCTTCTTGAGCATATCCCATAGAGGACCATTAGGGTCTAGAGGAGGTGCAACCTGCATTGGTTTTCCAAGGTTCTGTTGGATACCACGCAAAGTATCGGTTATCTCCACATCTATATCATCATCGGCACAGGCAGGAGATGGTTTTGTGTTGGACTTACTGGCCCTACCAACCCGTGCAGCAGCAGGTACTGTATTAGACTTGCCAAACCTTTTAAAATTTCTCTTGTTAGGCTTCATGGACTTCACACTAGATGAAGAAACTTGAGTGCTAGCTGCAGCAAGGGCAGCCACCTCCTGACACTCATCACTATCAGACTGTAGTTTGTCTGAGTCTTCCCCATGTGCATCATTTGTGTTATCATAGTTAGCCATATCATTCAGCATGTCAAGTCTCTCAGTATCATCTTGGTCTGGATCAGCTGCAGTGGAAGGGTCTTGCATAAAAGAACCATCAGCTGTGCTGCCACTAAATAATTCTTGCAACTTGTCAAAGAACTGAATTGGTTTAGACAAAATCCCACGGTCATTTGCCTGCATAAAAAACAATAAGAATCATTTATGATAATGCATGTAAGATAACTACTTAGGCAGGAGATAATTACCGAGAGTTCGTTCAAAGTAGACTTGGAGAGAGTCACCATCTTGGTGTCATAATCCCAGCCACCGCCACTCTCATTCATATGCTTAGCCATAAGTCTCCAAGTATCCTTATGCCTCCTCTAGTGGCGATGAACTTGCTCCACAGTATAGGTACTGCCATATTTAGAGTTCACTGCAGATGTGATGCATCTTCTTGAAAAAAGTTTTTGGAGGCATTGCCAACTTCTTCTCAATGTACCAATCAAGGAGAAATTCAGATATAGCTGGAGGCCAATTTGTAGCTTTTGCCCTTGGATTTGAACCTGCAGCTTTCTCGCCTCCCTTGCCCTTAGCATTCATGCTACTTTCTCCTGTATCCATTATCAACGAACTACTGAAAAATATTGCAGTGAAGAAAACAGCAAGCAACAATACAGGAAAATATTTTGATGAAGAAAACAATAACCAACGGTACATATATTTTGCTAATTAATAATAAGTCTTACAAGCTAAATAATACTTTATAAATGTATTACACCGTACAAGTACATATATGCTGCAACAATAGTACATAGCATAGTGAATTACATCAATATTCGGTCCACATCAAATTAGCTAGTTCATCTCGCTTAGCCACCCATTGTCTGTTTTATGCACCTTGATCTATTGCTACTCTAGTTGACCTGGGCAAAGTATTATACCAGAGTTCTTCATCATATATGATGTCATCAGGACCGTTGTCAAGGATCCAATTGTGTAACACACAGCATGCTATCACAATCTTCACATGTATGCTAAAGGGAAAATATGGCTTGTTTGCAAGAACTTTAAAGCGATTCTTTAATGTCCCAAATGCTCGCTCAACAGTTGCACAAAGAGAGGAATGTCGAAGATTAAACAACTCTTGTGGTGTTTCTGGATATCTCCCACCCCCATACTCCTTCAAGTGATAGTGAACACCTCTATAAGGTGGCAATATACCCGGTCTCGCTGCATACCCCGCATCAGCTAAGTAATATTTTCCTACAACACACAAGATGACTGCTTTATTGCCTCATCAAAACTTAGTGTATGCCTTAAATCATTTGGACAAATATGCTCACCTTCAGGCAATGGAATTCCATTTGATCTTTTAAGGGCAGCCCTTAGAACTACGGAGTCATGTGCTGAGCCCTCTCATCCAGCAAGCACATATGTAAACCGCAAATCAAAGTCCACGGCTGCTAGCACATTTTGAGTTGGGTAACCTTTACGACCTCTAAACCTGTTAACTATATTTTCAGGGACAAATGCGGGGATATGAGTGCCATCAAGTGCCCCAATACAGTCCTATATTACAAGGAATTTTTATTAGTGAAATAAACTAGCCATCAAAAATAAAATATTAAGATTTGTATGTTTTGTAGTATACCTTAAAATAAGGGTAGAACCGCACAGGGCTACTGGTTATCTTTGAATGGGTCTCTACATACCTAAGTTTTATCATATCTTTGGCAAGGGAACATAAAGCCATCAAGACCTCATTGAAATACCGACTTACGGTCTCGCCGGATCTCTTGAAATATAAGGCAATCACACAATTTCTCAAATTGTGGTCAACTGTATGCAGAAACATAGCTAATTGTTCTTCAACCGAGACGTGTATAGTATCCCTAAGTAGACCGGAATCACGCAAACGGGAGGAAAGTTTCCAGAACACAGCTTTCCTCATCCGAAGTTGACGGATGCAGTTTTTATCTGTTCCATTATATAGTTCACCTAGCCTTGTTTGTCTCACCAAATCTCTGCTCACCAAGGGCCCATATTTTATTGGCAGCCTTCTAGAGCGAAGACGCCGACGTCGCTGCCGCCATTGGATAATGGCAATGACAATAGATAGGACACTTAACATGCGAGCTCTTTGCTGGATAACATAATCGGAAATGTGATCTTTATCCATCTAAGCATCATATGAGAAAATGTAAGAAACAAGCAAGTTGGTAGTTCAGATTAGATATACATGCATGTCGTCATTTTCTAAAGCAACCTGTACAAAGTTACTACTTTAATAAATATACATTTTGCCACTCACTTTCTAATCCTCCAGATAAAAGTGTACTAGCTAGCATCATTGGATGTCAGTACGCACATGCTAAAAAATCTACTCTCCAATACTATAAGAAAATCAATATGCTTATCACGGAGAAATGTACTGGGAGAGGAGAAAAAGGATCTATGTACGCACAAGCTAAAAAAATGGAGTCTCACGTGCTACAAGAAAATCGATCTGATTAGCATAGGGAAAAATGCATTTGTATACATCAATCTAGAAAAAACTGCAGCCATCATTTTTACATAAACAAGAATGATAGATCAAGCAAATCAAGAAAATAGAAATAGATTTTGCTCACCTTTCTGAACCAGATCTCAGATCAGTACTTCTTGAAGTCAATGAAGAGTGAAGAGAGGAAATAATAGAGCAAACCACCAGATCCACAACCTAGAAGATCACCCTGCAGCATCCTTCATCGCCATGGAGTCCAATCTGTGATTTCCCCACTTCTGAAGAAACACCAACGAGAGAGAGAGGGAGGGGGAGGGAGGGGAGAGGAAAGGGAAAAAGTGAGAAGAGAATAAGGCAACGGAGGTTTACGCGGTCATTAAAACTAGACAGCTCGGCTGGACTCCCAGGTGATCGATTTTCTGCGCCTGGCACCCGGCACCTGCGCCAGGCATCCGCGCCAGGTAAGTAAATCCTATGGCTCGAACCAAACAACGTCCAGGCAACCTACGGACAAAGGGTCCAGTCCGGGCAATTTTAGCCAGCCCTATATCCAAACGATAGGGCGAGCAACTTCCGCCCATCGGCTCTTAGCACGAGGTGTCGCGATTGACCGGGGCGCTCGTGCCGGTGAAGCAAGTACAGATCGTCGGCATTCCTACCCCTTCTCGGTATCCTCCATCTCGATTTGAAGGTCTGTATGCTTGCTTCCCTCAGCCTCAAGTACCCCTACCCCCCATATCATAGTTCTTGTCAATCGTAGTACCAGTATCCATTGTTGATTTCTTGTGGATCATAGTAGACATGTGCAACAATGATTGCTTGATGTAGAGATTGAAACGCCTGAGCAATCCATTTCCTCTTACTACATTCAATTTTAGTCTGCTTGGAAGTTGGCAGGCAGCAGAAAAAACTAGAGAGTAGAAATTGGGGCTAGTATGTAAAGTTATCTGTAAAAATTTATGTAAAGGTCAAAGTTATCTGAAGATGATCCACAGTTAGCAGTGGCCTTTGATAGGCAGGGCTTCTTTTTCCTGTTGATTCATTCTTTCAATCTATGCCTCAGATTGTGCCTGCAGAAGAGTGACACATCTTAGCTGAATTCTTTTTGCTTGGTTACTGAATTAGTGTAGGATGATGTAATCTTCTTGATCATCTGTTCAGTTCAGCGCAACTGATTTGTGCCAAGATATTGATATGGAAAATATTTTTTTTGTAATCACTAAACTCAGAATCAAGTACTGATAAAATCAAGAAAGGAGTGGCAGACTGAAGTGAAAGAATTGAAGTTTGTTTACGGTGACTATAATAAATGAAGAAATTAAATTTTGGTTAGAGTAACGGCAAACACACAGAGGTGGCAGGTCAGGGATATAACTTTTTTATCCTGATCCCTTGTTTGGGTTTGTACGGTTTGGGTATGGGTTAATTATAGTATGCCTGCTGTACTGGTGTATGTGGGTTCTTTGCTGGACCAGCAAAGAGATGCCTGGCAGGTTTTATATATACCAAACAGGGCAACAGGAGAGTGCATAGTCATAGTTCTTTTAGTAACTTGTAGCATGAAATTCTTTGTGGTTCCAGTTATTGCACTTTATATATACCAAACAGTTTTTATTGTTAGTACCCTCTGAATAATATGCATGCAGGTTTTATTGTTAGCTTCCAACTGCAATCCTGCATAACATAGCACTTTTGTTTTGGGAATGGTTATCGACTCTGCGATCTGATCACATACTTTTCTTTCTATAGGTCAACTGGAAGGATGCCTAATAGTGAAAGTTTGGCACTACTTGATGAGGGTCCTGATGAAGCCATACAGAATTCAGGCCGCAGAAGCAGGAGAAGATCTCCAGTATGGAACTATTTTGAAGAGTTACCAAATGAGGGAAAAGCCATCTGCATCCATTGTAGATCAAAACTGGCATATCATCAAGGTCTTGGAATATCACATCTAAGGAACCATATTACATCTGCCTGCAAAGAACTTCCTCCAGATATAGATCGCGGTTCGATTTTTCGAAAGGTTGTGTCTGGTGTAGATGTTCGCAGATTTGTATTGGACCCAAAGATAGTCAGGGATTTCATGACCAAGTTTTGGATCACATCAAATATCTCCTTCAAAAAGATAGAAAATGGATTCTTTAAGAGAATGATGAAATCAGCCCATCCAAGCCTTGAAGTTCATGGTCGACATACACTCAAGAGCGATTGCATGTCAGTGTATCAAGAAGAGAAGAAAAAGATAGCAAGTGTTTTTCCAATATAGATTCCTGTGTTAGCTTCACTTCAGATATGTGGACTTCAGTTCAGAATCTTGGATACATATGTTTGACTGCACATTTTATAGATGAAGATTGGAATTTGCACAAGCATCTCATCAATTTTAAACAAGTTCCTCATCCTCATAATGTTGCTGCAATTCATAGTACTGTCATGGTGATGAGGACATGACACCATCGGATACGACCATTGATTATAAGGTGAGCTCGTTCCTACAATTGCATAGTGATTTTTGGTACAATTCGCTTGGTTCCACATGTACATGTCATTATTTGCTTGTAGGTACAAATGTGTCTCAAAGTGTAAGTCCATGAAAGTTGAACTTTCAGTTCATCGGCGTCCCGACAATACTTCATTGGGAAGGCCATAACTCATTCATCCGGAGTGCGATCAAGGTTAATGAACACTTGATGGAAAGCTTGTTTGATAAGCTTTCAAATAGATCTGGTCCCACATCAATATCACATTGGCAAGGCCTTAAAATCATCAAGATATTCTGTCATTGTTTCTGCCGGGAGCTATATTGTCGTCATGGGCTTGTTATTCATCCTTGGGACCCTGACCCAAGTGGGAGCACGTCCCAAGGAGATGGAGAACTCACCAAGGAAGCCCTTGGACGTCTTCCTCCTTGGCGACCTCCTTAGGAGTCCAGCAAGGGCGTCCAAGCCAAGCCGGAGGCCCAGTCCAACTCAAGTTCAAGTTTGCCTCGGTCTTCAGGACCAGTCTACAATAAAACGGACGCACAAGATGCATCCGGACTCCGTTTTCGATGATTCACATATGGATGGAAATATAATTTCATAAGCTATCCAATGGCTTTGGTTTGAGGCCCAAATTCCACCAGAGTCCACAGAAATCATCAAAACAAGTCAACGTCCAGAATCTGTCAGGTGCTGCGCCACCGCTTTTGGTCCATTGGGCCGTGTATCGTCTTTGAGCCCATTAGGGGGGGCACGTCCAGGGGGAGCGACGACCCTTAGACCTTATATTTAGTCACCACAACCATCGTTAGGGTTTAGGTTTTGCTTTAGATTAATCTGTCATCGAACAGTTGTCGTTATCGGTTGTGAAACCCCAACTTTGAATGCTTAATCGTTCATCTGCAATTGTCACTTCAATTGAGTTGCGTTTTATCTTGTTCTTGCTTGTGTTCTTCGATTCACAGCAGGGATTAGCCTTGTTAGCGAGGTCAACCGGATTGTGACACAGTTGATAACCAGAGAAGACATGGTGCTAAGGTTGCAGGGTTCGAGCCTTTGTGATCTGAACCTGACGGAAGATCGGGAACCCGTCCCCATCACATGGACTGACTGCCTTTATGAGTGGGATATATCCAACAAAGCTTTAGTTTTTACTCTAGATAATGCCACCTCAAATGATGGAGCTGTACGAAAGCTAAAAGACACTCTTTGGAGACGTATGCCCTTTCAAGGTGCTGATCTTCATGTGAGGTGTTCAGCTCACATTCTGAACTTGATTGTCCAAGATGGAATGGAAACCATACAGAACTAGAAGAACACCCCGTGTGTTGCTGCCGGAACTACTGATTTGGAATGAAATTTAACTATTCATACAATTCTTAAGAAGAAATTAGCTATTATAAACTAATGTTAGTGGATAGCGTGGCCCGCTGATGTGGACAACTAAATGTATGTTAGTGGATGACATGTCTCGCTGATGTGGATATCATAATTGCTTGTGCTAGTGAACTTTAATTGCAAGTGATAGTGGAGTGCTGAGGTGGATACCTTGTATGCATGTGATAGTGGACTGCTGAGGTGGACACTTTGCATGTCAAGAAAAATTGTTAGTGGGGTTTTGCTTTATAAGAGTATAGGATATCATTGAGCCTGTTAGGAATGTCATTAAGCATATTTCATCATCTAGCTCTCGGCTACAGATTTTCAATACCATTCCGCACCAATTTAATCTTCGACCTAAGAGGGGATTCACCCTAGATGTTCCTACAAGGTGGAACTCTACTTATGACATGCTTGAAGAAGCTCTTCAGTATAAGGATGGCTTGACCCACTATGCTAATCTGCAGAACATTCAAGGACCCAACCTTGAGCAATGGAACTTAGCAGAAAGAGTTTGCAAATTTTTGAAAATTTTTGCTGATGCAACCAAAGTCTTCTCACAGCATAATACTCCTAGTTCGCATAGGTATGTTGAAGAGGTTTGGGGGATAAGGGAACTACTCCTCGATTGAAAAAAAAACATGAGTGATGAATTCTTGAAGGTCTTGTGTGATGACATGAAGTCAAAGTTTGACAAAATATTGGGATGAACCTAACAAAATCCTTTTGGTTGCGTCGCTGTTAGATCCACGGTACAAGTTATTCTTTTTGAAGTATTGTCTCGTGAAAGTTTATGGAGAGGAAGTGGCTGATAGCAAAGCCAATGCTGCTCTTACTTGGTTTAAAGCGTATTATTCTCATTACGAGAGCATGCTGCAAAGGAGTTCACAGAGTACTGCTTCTTCATCGCCCGAAGTGGGTGGTTCAGCAAGTACACTTTCTTTGTTATCTGGAAAATGCAAGCTGGGGCTGGAATTTGCAATGTTTAGGCACGAACGAAGGCCTCATTGATCAAGAAGATTAGAAGTTGACACTTACCTAGATGATCCATTGGTTCATTCAAGGGAGGGTGAAGAATTTGATGTGCTCAAGTGGTGGAAAAGAAACCAAGATCAATATCCTACACTAGCTAACATGGCTCGCGACTTTTTGGCCATTCTATTGTCAACGGTTGCCTCTGAATCGACATTCAGCACCGCTGGCATAATAATTGACAAACGTCGCAATTCTCTAAGTTCAGAAACGGTGGAAACACTCATATGTGCAAAGGATTGGCTCAAAGTCTACCTATCAGATGTTAGAGATTTAGGCATTTTCATTATCAGTTTAATCCAGAAAAATAACATCAGCAGGTTCGTGACGGCATATATGTGCATGTGTATATCTCTAACGAATGCTACAGCATGCAAAGATGACATACAGATAGATACAGTAAAAGCACAGATTACAGTGATCAGAAAGATTAGACTGTACCCAGCGGAGGGTCCCATGCCGAGGGCATTGGAGGCTCCATTCGCACTAGTCGGCACAGTGCGTTGTTTGAAGTCGCAGACCACAGTCGGTGCAGGACGATGTTCGCAGTGCAGTCCCACGAACGGATCACCAGGAAGAAGACGCCTTGATGTTCCACAGGCAATCACCAGGAAGAAGATGTACGTGGATGAGCAGTCGCTGATGGATCGCTCCCCAAAAACCTAATCGCCACACACCTCGTGCAAGGTTCTCAAGCGGGCGAGGGTTCTAGAGGCACCTGCTCTCCCGCTGCTCCGTGCGCGCAGAGGTACGGGACAGGGAAGCCAGAAGGCTGCTGAGATGTGGTTTCTCTTGGGAGCGGTTGCGGAAGAAAGGATATACATGTGTATATCTCATCATCACTTGAGCTATCATGATCAACTTTTGCTTTGCCCCTCTTCTCTTAGCTAGCCTTGAATGCCAAATCTTTCTTCTTGGTGGAAGAAGAGCCATCTTGTGGAGTGATGTGCATGTACATATCATGTGCATTGATCTTCTCCAATATTTGAGTTGGTGTAGCGGTGGAAAGATCACCTTGATGAAGCACCATCACAATATGCCCATACTTGTCAATGGGGAGGACACTCAAAATCTTTCTCACAACATCGGATGGTTGCATTTGAGTGAGTCCAAGCCCATTGACCTAATCTACAAGAACATTCAAGCGAGAATATATTTCATTAGCACATTCATTAGGAAGCATCTCAAATGAATTTAGCTTTTTGATCATAAGGTGATAGCGTTCCTCATGCTCACTCGTAGTTCCCTCATGGAGCGCATAAATGTCCGACCATAGTGAATGGGAGTCTTTGTGGTTTCGCACACGGTTAAAGACATCCTTGCAAATGCCTCTAAAGATGGTGTTTTTGGCCTTTGCATTCCACTTCTCGTAATTTGCCTCATCACCAACGGGGTTGGAGGGGTCCTTAGGTTTTGGGAGGCCTTATGTGGCGGCTCTAAGCACTCCAACATCTATAGCCTCTAGGTACGCCTCCATGCTAATTTTCCAATAAGGAAAATCATCTTCTTCAAAGAAAGGAGGAGGTCCATCCCGTGGGACATCTTGCTCTAGGCGGTTAACCCTAATTGAGGAGCACTCTGCTCTGATACCAATTCAAAGGGTCAAGATGCCTAAGAGGGGGGTGAATTGGGCTAATCTAAAATTTCTTGCAATAATTAAGCCCTACACTTAGCCCATTTCACCCCTAGTGCCTAAATGTGTTCTATATTGATCTATCGCACAAAAGTTTTACACCCTAGGTTCCAATCCTACTCTAGCATGGCAATTCTAATAATATAAAGACATGAATTGAATTGCTCAAAAGTAAATGCTCAAATTAAAGAGAGGAAGAGGAACGCGTCGATGTTTTATCGAAGTGATCACCAAGCTTCAACAAGCTTCAAATCACCACCGAGCCATCTAGGTGATGGTGATCACCAAGAGTAACAAGCACGAACTCTCACTTGACCTAACCAAGCCTAATGAGAAGAGTGGAGGCACACTTGCTACTCTCTATGCACTAATGAGGTCCTTATTCTTGGATTAGCAAATCTCAATCACCCCACTAGGCTCTTGCTCTCCCTTGCACTCCAAATGGTTTCCTCAGCTTAACAAAAGGGAAAGAGAGTCTAAATGCATGAGATGGAGGGGTATAAATGGCCCCAAGCCAAGGAACTAGCCGTTACCGTCCAATTCAGCAAAGTTAGGGTCACCAGACAACAAGGTGGTGCTGCTGAGATGTGGTTTCTCTTGGGAGCGGTTGCGGAAGACGGAGATCTGGACTGATGGAGGACTGCGGATATATGGCTGCGACAGGAAGGGAGAGAGGCAGCGGAGAATCCCAGGAGACGAAGAAACAGAAGCAGAAAGGATGGTAACTGACGCAATCAGTTT